GGCTCGGCCAAAAAATGCCCGTATAACTCGTAAAACGAGATCGGGTTAGTCATTTTCTCCCCGAACGAGATCGACCGCCATTAAAGCGGAACCTCGTCAGGTTCCTCAAGTCTGCTCAGAGGCAGAGTGGAAACTGTTATGACCATCAAGCCGAGAAGTCGGCTTGAATCAGTATCTTAGCCACCCCCACGAGGGTTGCATGTAGGAACAAGGCCGAGTTTATCGTGGGTTTCCTGAGTCCCGTAGGCTCGGCCCAAAATTTTAACCCGTATAACGAAAAACGAGTTGGGTTATTTCTCCCAATTGAGATTCCGCCCTTCGGCGGAACCTCGTCCAGGTTCCTCTCTGCTCAGAGGCAGAGTTAGACCATCAAGCCGAGAAGCTCGGTTTAAATTTTTATCCCCCACGAGGGTTGCATGTGGCACAAGGCCGAGTTTATCGGGGTTTCCCGGGCCCGTAGGCTCGGCCAAAAAATGCCCGTATAACTCGTAAAACGAGATCAGGGTTGGTCATTTCTCCCGAACGAGATTCTGCCATTCAGCGGAACCTCGTCCGGGTTCTTTTTCTGCTCAGAGGCAGAAAGTTCGACCGTCATGTCGAGAAGCTCGGCTTGAATGGGTATCTAGCCACCCCCAACGAGGGTTGCATGTGACACAAGGTCGAGTTTTATCGTGGGATTCCCAGGCCCGTAAGCTCGGCCAAATAAAATGTCCCGTATGACTCGTAAAACGAGATCGGGTAGGTCATTTTTCCCCGAACGAGATTCTGCCCTTCAGCGGAACCTCGTCCGGGTCCTCTGCTCAGAGACAGAGTTCGACCGTCAAGTCGAGAAGCTCGGCTTGAATCGGTATCTAGCCACCCCCACGAGGGTTGCATGTGACACAAGGTCGTTTTTATCGTGGGTTTCCCGAGCCCGTAGGCTCAGCCAAAAAATGCCCGTATAACTCGTAAAAACGAGATCGGGTTGGTCATTTCACCCCGAACGAGATTCTGCCCTTCGGCGGAACCTCGTCCGGGTTCCTTTCTGCTCAGAGGCAGAGAGTTCGACCGTCAAGTCGAGAAGCTCGGCTTGAATCGGTATCTAGCCACCCCCCACGAGGGGTTGCATGTGACACAAGGCCGAGTTTTATCGTGGGTTTCCCAAGCCCGTAGGCTCAAAAAAATGCCCGTATAACTCGTAAAAACGAGATCGGGTAATTCACCCCGAACGAGATTTTGCCCTTCGGCGGAACCTCGTCCGGGTTCCTTTCTGCTCAAAGCAGAGAGTTCGACCGTCAAGTCGAGAAGCTCAGCCTTGAAAAATGTATCTAGCCACCCCCACGAGGGTTGCATGCGACAAAGGTCATTTTTATCGTGGGTTTCGAGCCCCGTAGGCTCAGCCAAAAATAGTCCCGTATGACTCGTAAAAACGAGATCGGGTTGGTCATTTTTCCCCGAACGAGATTTTGCCCTTCGGCGGAACCTCGTCCGGGTTCCTTTCTGCTCAAAAGAGAGTTCGACCGTCAAGTCGAGAAGCTCAGCTTGAATCGACCCTCTTTTTTGAGAGGCGTAATATAGTGTTAGGAAGAGTTCATTCTGTAGTTATAGGTAAGAACCCATGACAATAATCCATGGAGGTATTGATATTTCGTAAAAAAATAAATAAACAAAAACAATTCACTTGAGAGAGATGAGATAAATGCTTTAATATTTGCTTCATCTTTGAGGTAGATGAATACTTTTTCATTTAAAGCTGGCGGTTGAAGTTCGAAACACGGCAAAATGATCGGATTTTGAACGCTGGCATTTTTTCTTTTTCAGGGCAATAAATTAAAGTCAGTCTCTCGAATCACTTCGATTATTATATATATATATATATATATATATATATATATATATATATATATATATATATATATATAGGGTATTCGCTTAGCATAGCCTTGGGTATTTCGGCGTGGTTGAACAAACCAATACCTAAGGAAAATGAGGAATAAAAAAAAAGAACTAAGATCATGAAATAGAGACGGAAAAATTCGTCCAGACTTTTTCAGAGTTCAAAGAAAAAAAAACCCTCCAAAACAGAGTAAAATGCAACTACGTAAAAGGCTCAATACACAAAAGTAGAGTAAACCTAATATAATCCCTAAAGAACCAGGTAAACCTACCTTGCGTTTCACCTAAACGGATCTTCAGGATAAAACTGGCCAGTTTCACCCTGACGATCCGTTTAGATGAAACCTAGGTTTACCCTGCTCTTAGGTCAAGTCTAATACACACACACACACACACACACACACACACATATATATATATATATATATATTTTTTGTGTGTATATGTATATAAATATGTCTGGGCGCTTATATATTATAATCTGATTGTGTTTATTTTACGCGTGAGTTTAGGACCCCATTCACACACTTGGGATTAAAATGTATACATATTGTCAAATGACCGGATATAAAATTAGCTTCTAAAACAACTTCAATGAAGAAATAAATTGAATAACATATATATTTCTTCTTTTCTCCTCAGTAATTTTATAGTTGTAAAACTTAATAGCGATTAAATTTTGAATTTGAAATTAGCAGTTTTAATTTTAATATTAAATTTTATCATATAATTTAGTAATTATTGGTTAGAATAAATTCTTTTTTAATATTACCCTATTTAAACATCTGAATAGCTATTATAACATGACTTCGTTGTCAAGCTTTTTGAATTTTCCTATACTTGTATTTTGATTGGTCAATCTAGCTTTTGTAACAACGTTTTCCCCTTGCGAAGGATCGTTAATTAATTTGAAACTTTTAAAAATTTTTAAAATTTATTTTACATTCAACATCATTACTTGATAAGACACCGGAGGTGTTGAAACAAAATGGCTATTTTTGTAGTGATTTTATAACATATTTATGTTATAATTTTATTAAATAAATAAATATATATATATATATATATATATATATATATATATATATATATATATATATATATATTAAAAAAGAAGAGAAGAGAGGTGCCCAAACGTTTTTGGTTTGTAATGGGATTTATTTAGAAAAATATTATATACTTTGTTTTACATAATTTTACGACACATATTTCTGGTCTCATGACCGTCTTCAGGTAAAAGTGAGATTTCCATTATTAAAAATAATTAATTTTTCCTCATGTTCAATGTTAAATATTCTCATATGAGACATTCTCTCTTTTTATGTTGGTAATCCAATTTCAAGAATCCAGAAGGAAATTCTTCTCGTTGGAACCACTACAACATATTTCTTTTATTATATATATATATATATATATATATATATATATATATATATATATATATATATATATATATATATATGCGTTTGTGTGTGTGTCTGTTCTGACTTAAAATATATTATATTTTCCTCGGTTTTCTCAGAAAAAAAAAATTTAATTAATTTTTCACCTAAAATGTGCCATTTTTTCGATTATAAATATCACGACGATATCTTCCAACGATACAGTAATTTGTCTTTTTTTTTTTTTTTCGTCCAATTTCGACAATCATTCAAACTTTAACTAACAACTAATCAATAAATCACGCTTTTATTGTTCTTGGAGACACCGCATTCTCTGAGGTCGACCAAATCTTCAATACACATACCACCGTTTAGCACGTTCAAGGCTACCTTTTATATTTTAACTCTTACTTGAATTCTTTTTTTTCTTTTTTTTTGGTTAGAATTACCAATAGAAATTATTGTGTAAACCTATTTAAGCTTTTATTTTGAGGAAATTAAATAAAATTATTAAATAATACGCGTCATCATGACTGCTTGTGGTTAATTCCATCGTGTAATGTGAAGATTTTTGCGTGTTCCGCTTTGTACCTGAAAATAAGCTGAGCTAACTTGCATTACTAATGAAAGTACCTTATTCAATATTTCATGAAGTTAGGCTTTTGTTATGACGTGGGGGTCTGGTATGACGCAACACTTAACTCAACAGAGTCAGTCGTGATAGCAATATTCAGTTTTTCAGCTAGACCGTCACAATGACGATTACCCAGGACTAACGGGCTTTTGCCACAGTAGCATTAAAAAGTAGCTGAATTTTTTTGAATTCATGTTTGGTTTGTTTTTTTGTTTCACGGCATATCAATCCTAATAATTTATGTAATGCCGATTAGAATTTTATTGCTGGTATTTTTTCTAAAATGCATTGTTGGTATTATTTTTTCAAAACGCATCCCTGAATTTTTTTCCAAAATTTCTGCTGGTAATAATATATTATTAATTTATTTCTTCAAAATGTATTGCTGGTAATAATTTTTTTCCAAAAAGTTTTACTTTTTAAAACCTATTTTATACTTTCATAGTGCTTTAACTCCCAGTTTGGGGGTTAACTATTTTCCTAGCTGGGACTCTAACAGGTGCTGCCCTCCCGGGTCAGGGAGGATCTGGGAAAAACAGCAATTAAAGAGGTGGTTTCCACGTTCCTCCAAAACCTTCTGATCAAGCCTTGCTGTCGGATGCGTTTATCGTCTCACCCAGGACGGTGTTAATTCGGTGTGCAATCCCTGTTTGCTGTTTACCATTCGATTAACAAACACGTGCTTATTAGAGTGGGGATCAGATTTTTTATAGTCGAAGTAATAAACAGATCCCCACTTTTTCTGATCGATTATATACGTTTCTCTTTTGCGAGACAAAAACACGCGAAGAAGGCATGTTAAGCAGAAACGGCCAGGAAATCTTCTTGGGGGTCGAAATAATATTTGTTTTGGTGGTGTTCACCCTGTACGAAAGCCCTGGAATCACTCGAGGTGAGAAGGTTAAAAAGTAAGAGCTACAGCTTATACGGATATGTGCGGAAGATAATGGTTAGACTTGAACAACAGAAGAGTGTAGTGATCAGAGGAAGCAACACCTTGGGAGTCGTTACCAAAACAGCCGTTCGTAGGAAGATGCTGCTTGGTGGAAACTTTACATCTGGTCAGGAGGGGGATGTGAAGGAATGAGCGTGGTTCGCTATATTTCCGTCTATATTCGTGAATGGTCCAATATCTTAGATATATGCTTGGGTATACCATGAATAGATAGATAGATAGATAGATAGATAGATAGATAGATAGATAGATAGATATATGAACAGAATGAGATAGATAGATAGATAGATAGATAGATAGATGATAGATAGATAGATAGATGTAGAGACATATAGATGAACAGATATGAGCAGAATGAACTAGATGAATGTAAACAAATTATATTGATAGATGGATAGATGTGAACAGAATAGATAGATAGATGAATGGATGTGGGTTGGTGCAAAAATAATGACGTAATAATGTCGTTTTTGACGTATTTTTTAACGTCAAAAACGACATTGTCCAATCATTATTGCATAACTATAGATAGATAGATAGATGATATTTTTTGATAAGTGAAAGTTGTATAGACTGACTGTGAACAGAATGAAATTGATAGATGGATGGATGTGAACAGGGGATGAATGATAGATAGATAGATAGATAGATGATGATGAATAGATTCTTTTCTCACCGATGAAACATTGCTAGTCTCTAGATATTATATCCTCATTTTCGTACACAATGTTCTGGCGACTACATTCCTTAGATACGCTAGTTCAGACCTTCACGGTGTGGACTCTCCATACCACGTAGATAGGTCGATTCATCCATTCTCTTCGTATCCCATTTATAGTGATGAACTTTCCTCAGTCAACTTCGTCTCTAAAATCTATTTTGTTGTCCAACAGATACCCGAGAGAATGCATTCCTGATCACTATAATCTTGGCTTCTGTCCTACAAATCTAGATGATATGCGCTTCTTAATCCCTACTTGTTTTGCCCCAACAACAAGTTAACAGTCAAGGGCCAGGCCCTGACGGCTTCCTAGACCGAAGACAACGATGGACCGACGGTTTTCAGAAAGAAATGCCAAGACGGACGGGTCCCTATACAGAAGACCAACGGCCAATTGGTTACTAGACTGAAAACAACATCCAGGACCGACGACCTTCCATGACTGAATTCAGTGACCAGGGCCGATGTCTTCAGACTGAAGTCAACGACCAGAATACGACGATAATAGACTGATGTCAGCAGCTGGGACTGACGGTTTCTTACACTGAAGTCAACAGGCAGGAATTATGGCTTGTTGGGACTGAATTCAGCGGCCAGGCCGACGACTTCCCTAGACTGAAGTCAGGTCGACGGCATACAGAGCAAGTCAGCAGCAGGAAATACTTCTTCCTAGATCAAAGTCACCGCCAAGTGTCGACGACTTCCTGGATTAAAGACAACGACCAGAACCAGCAGGTTCTAGATTGAAGTCAACGGCGAGAGGTGACAACAATGAACTGATGTCAACGTCAGGTCCACTGCTTCCCTGATTGAATTAAACGGACAGGATTTTCAGATTTCCTAAATTGAAGTCAACAGCCAGTGCATGCGTCATAATAGACTGAAGTCAACGGCCAGGCCGATGCTTCGATGACTGAAGACAACAGCCAGGGCTGAGGATTTCAGACTAGAAGGCAACGGCGAGGGCCCACGGTATCTGAACTTAATTCAACGGCCAGCTCAAACTGCTCTCCCTAGAGTGAAATCGACGATCACTGCTTTCTAGATTGAAGACAAAAGACAATGGCCTACTGATTCAAGACCGAGGACAACGACCAGGGCTGACGGGTTCCGAGACTAGAAGACAACGGCCACAACCGATGTACGTAGACTGAACCAACGACCATTGAAGACGTCTACCAAGACTGTAGAACAAGGTCGAGCCGACGGCTTTTTAGGCTGAGAAAAAAACGGCCGGTACCGATGGGTTTCTGGTTGAAGGCAACAGCTGGAACCGGTTGCTTCTAAACTGATGTCCACAGCCAGAGCCGACTGATTCCTCGACTAGAGGGACAACAAAAAGTGCCGACTGTACCAAGACTGATGTCAGCGGTCAGGGGCCGACTGAAGACAACCACCAGAGCCGACAGGTTTGCTAGCCTGATAATGTCACTGTCCAGGGCCCAGGGCATCCCAAACTGTGATCAGCGGCCAGGACCTGCTTTTTCTTGACTGAGTCAACGGCCAGGGCTGAGGCCCTAATAAACTGGTGTCAAGGCCGGAGCTGACGACTTCCGAGACTGGTCAATGGCCTGGGTCGAAGTTTCGCAGACGTTGATGTCAACTGCCGGGTTCGACTGCTTACTAGACTGAAGACAATGACCATTGACAGGTTCCTGACGATGGCGAGTGCTGACTGCTTCCCTGGGCTGATGTCAACGGTTCTTAGACTGAAGACAAACAGATCTAATGCCTTCAT